ATAACTTTGCTAACATGCCTGTCAGCTTCTGTTATAGAAGAACGAAAATAGATTCAAATATTATGATTTGTGCTTCAACATTTGTGTTAGATCAATTTTTTTTACAAAATAAAACTAAATATTTAAGGCAATCCAAAAGTAATGGCGGAAGTATTTTATTTTCTTATAGAAACCTTGAAGCAATTTTCTTTGTCTATGACGTGATAGAGAAAATGGCGGTCAAATTTTCTATGCTATTTGATCACTATTCAACTTATATCATAATAATAAAGTTTCGACAAGATCTGTTTTTGTGGAAAACCGGCTGGTAGTATTAGATCATAATAAGTGTAGCATAAGGGTACTTTTGAAATTCACTTTATCATCACTTACTACTTGGTATTAAAAAACAAAATATACCACAAAATGCAGCGTGACAAGCTATACAATTGATAAAGGACTCCTTATTTTATAGTTGTACTTTCTGTTTTTTAAAATGGACAAAACTTTGAGCGACCAAATTTTCATGCTGCAAAAACGAGATTTTTTCAGTCAAAGACGAATTTGTTTTTTTCTATCTCATCTGTCTATAATTTTTCTTTATAAATTGTAGAGCTTTTCACGCTGCATTTTGTTGTATATTTTGTTTTTTTGATACCATATATTAAGTAATAACAAAGTGAAATGCAAAAGTACCCCGTCCATAATAATCTCTTGGTATTAGCAAGTTTTCAACAAAAACAGGTCTTATCGAAATTTATTACTACGATATTAGTTGAATAGTGATCAAATAATATAGAAAAATAGAGCATTATTTTTTCTATCATATCATGGACAAAGAATATATTCTCAAGCTTTCTATAAGAAAATAAAAACCCTTCGCCGCTACGTTTGGATTACCCTACGTATATCCGTTAATAAAATTCTCTTAGTAATAAACTTTACAATGGCTACGTCACACTTTCTTTCTAACTCCAATCATCCGATTGGTCGAAACTTAATTTCTCGATTTAAACCTACAAAAAAGGCGCCATGATTCCCATATAGCATGACTATCTTTTGGAAAAACCCATTTTTGTGTTAATCGATATTGGAGGGTTCACATTGCAATTCGTAGTCACGGAAAACTTGAATTTCATCAAGATCAAAGTCATTTCTTAACTACTTAGAATAAGTGATTTGTTGATTTTAATATTCTTTTTTTGCTCTAGAACTGACTTTTCTCGTTAGAGTTTTTTATGACACATATTTCAAATCGAATAAACAATTTGTTGAATGTTACCATCAGAAATTGAATTAAAACATTTGCAACATTAAGAATTAAAGATATCAACTCATGTATGGATACTTTTCATTGTCAATATCGTTATCTTTGGCAACAGATCGTGATAAAATGAGCAAACCGTAATTGTATTTATTCTCTAAACTAAGCTGATAAAGGTATACTTTTGCAATTCTGAGATGCACACAGGTAGAAAAGATACAGGGATTATCATAAAAAATGAAACAAAGTACGATGTATGTCTTTGACACTTGTTTTCAAGCAAAGTGTTACTTTTCACATGCACAATATTCTCTTTTGATGCGCATTACTTTTCAACAGTCTGTCAAACCAATTTGTATAGAGAATTCAATTTGAAGGTAATCTTGATATATAATCACACAAAAAGTCTGCAACATAGTTCTCGACAGTGTACAAAACATCTGATGAATTGATAAAAAAATGAAGCAATTACTATTGTAGAACTGTTACAGATTCGTGTCATATTATCCCAAATGTAGTCAATCATTAACACCATTGATTTATTTGCCCTACATTCATTGCACAACTTGCAGATAACATGTCGTTTTTCGATGTGCTGGAAAACACTATTGGAATATGGGATCTTCTCGTAGATAAAAACATGAAACTAAAAAGACAAATATAGTTTTTATGCAAATTATGCTAATAAGCCCATAATTTTTCTCGTTCCAGAAATAGCTTGTTCACAGCATGTCGAGCAAGAAAATCTGATTTCTAATCGTGTCATATCATGAGAAAACTCATTTGATGGAACTGCATTAAATAAATGCAGTTTGTTCATAATATTTTTTTTCTCTTTATTAACAATTGATATATCTATTTATGTGTTAAACATATGCATCGAAAGCTCTATCAAAAAAGGCAAATATATGAAGCGTTTGTTCATCAATAGACGTAGTGATAACTCGTCAGCATTTGATGCAGATTAGTTTTCAAAAAGTTCTGACAATAGAAATTAACAGATGTTATGATTAATGGGCGATCATCTAAAAATGAGCCATACATGCCGTTAGAGCGTGCCTAGTACAAATCTTTCGAAAGAACTAACACTTGTGAATATTGAAGAAATGCATTTGAATTTTTTTCCTGTATGCTTGGTTGATAGAATAAATGAATTGGCTAATATAGACATTATTTCAAAGTCAACTTTTTTGTTGAGAGTAAATAAGTACACTGAAGTAGTATAAACCTTAGTTTGCAATAGAACTGGCAAAACCGAAATCATTGTTTCCGACAGGAGAAAGATAAGCAAAAATGCATATTAATCGGATGGAAATTATTTATTTTTTGTCTCTTTATATGTTTTTTTTGTGTTCAAAAATGTGAGAAGTATGGATTAGAATGTTGCCTTCATTCTTCTTTGTGTTTGTTCAGTTTCGCAAGTAGTGGAACATGATTCGCAATTATTTTGAATGTTAATCGTGAGAATCACAATCTCATTACGAATAACAGCTTGATAACTTTCAATGACTTAGAAACAAGAGTTTTGGATTAACTGCAAATATTTGAGCTTGTTGCAACGCAATTTTCAAATCATTTTGTTCCAGATCAACTTTTCTTCCGAACTGTAATTATTTTTGTTGATAACAAATATTTATTTCTACTGGAACTAAAATTAAGAAATATCTTAGTTATTTTATAACACAGATTCTCATTATTTATTTTCTCTTATCGCATTAGAGAAACGTCGTTCAAACTTAACAATAACATTTTAAAGCTGAGCAAATCGTATCTAGTGATGAATTTTCCTTCGTTTTAAGCTTTTTGTACCATGAGATTGAGCTCCTGAGGCATTACAAAACACAATCTCATACCAAAAACTGTTGGTAAATTTTATTTGGGCCTAATATTTAACCTGGCTTGGAGGAAAAATTCAAAGGGATGACTTAAATGGGAATAAATTCTGATTTGCCCAGTTCTGTGACATTCTCTTTTAGAATGATTAATGACATATTTTGAAGTGATATTAATATTTATGCAATTCCAACAGTAATTAGTATTTTTCAAATATTTTCCTAGGTTCATATTGATAATATCATTGAATAAATAAACATTATTTTATTACAAATTTTCATTCTGCCAGATTCTATAAGTAAACATGCTTTTTCAAATAAAAAACACAATTCATTGACTTTAATGAAGCTTCTGAAATGATTCGAACTGAACTAAGACTGACAGAACTTGGTCGACTTCAATGCGCTCATATAGAATTGACGCATTGTACCCATCTTCACTGACTACAGACCATAAAGGTATCCCAAGTGTAAATCTTGTATTAAGACGGTGCTGCAAAAAAATTGTTATTAGTAACATATAGTATTGTTCCAGAATTATTGATTGCGTGATCGAAAAGCTTTCAACCAAGGAAAAACGAAAAAAAAAACATGTTTTGAACGTTGTATTTGACTTTCTTTGTGAACGGTACTCATCTATTTTAACTGTTGAGAAAGAAAAAATTGAGAAACTTTAAAAAAAATAACATCGATAAACAATAATGTTGATGGTGAAGTTCCATACGTAAGGTATTATTACAAAATATATAATTTGCAATGTCGACTTTTATCGAAACGATCAAGTTTGATAGATAATGAAGACGAGAAAACATCAGAAAAGTGTCGTCACAATTAGTTCATTTGCTAAAAAACTACTTTGAATAGGAGAGGGGAAGTGGTATTAGAAATTGACATAATTTCAAAAATATAGTAACACATAAGAAGAATTCATTATTATAATTGGTCTATCATCTATTTTTTAATATATTTCATTGCATCGTCAACTATAAAAAGCAATCAAAAATTCAAACCCACTGCTTATACGATATATTTTTTACAAAAAGAATTTTCGTTTCAAATATTTACAAAAAAAATCATCTAACTATCGCACAATAGACAAGTCCACATCAAGCGAAAAAGTGCAAAAGATTCTCGACGAACACTGACGAAGAGTATCATATCCATACTGACTCTTTTTCTAAACAAGAAGGTATCAGTTAATTAATTCATATCAAACAAATATCCATAAATTAAATTAAAATCAATCATTATAGAAATAATCTATTTCGATTAATATCGATTTTCTTAATCTTTAAATTTTGATTTCAATAGAGTTTAATATCATGTTTCAATTTGAAAAATTCTAAATATCCAGTTCACAAGAGAATATGTCTTTCTATACGTTTCTTTACAATTATATGATATCAATATTGATTATTAGTAACATCAAGCTAGCTAGTGTTTTTTCGCTCTTTATAGTTTTTTTTCTAAAACACGTTTATCTTCAAACTATAGGTGTGTAGGCGTCATATAGCTTCTCGTAAGCGAAAATAATCATTAATGATTTTACTTTCATTTAATAAAAGAAAAGAAAACAATACAGTATATCGTTCGATATATTTATCATGACTTTGAATATAATATTCTTTTACCATGTTTCTATTTCTGTCAATTACGAACAACAAAATTTTATTATTTTTGCCCTGTAAGTAATATCAATCACACTAGTGCACAGTAAATGATGACTGACCTTACCTTTTTTTTTTCGTGATAATTTTATTTGCTTCTTGTAATTTATTTTGCAAAATGTGATTCGATAGTGATGGCTTGCCATTCTAGACAAGAGAAAAATAAAAAAAAAAAAGGGTAACATATATACATCATTGCTTCATTATAGAATATAACGCAATTTTGTGAGAAATTCTTATTTGCAATCGATATATACAATGGATCGCATTCGTTGGAGTGACACAGCAATTTCATTTCGAAGTCTTGTAAACAATCCAGCTATACCAAAGCCTGCACTTGGTGAATATTTTCTAATTATTATTTTTGAAGACAAAAATCTTATTTTGTTTTTCTATTTACTAAGTCCGCATTGGTAATAAAGCTATTGTAGTTGGAGAAAAAATCAATGGAGAATTTATTATGGCATCACCCTGTAGAGTATCTGGTGATCGATTTGATGTTATGGAACAAGAAATTGTCTTATCAAGCAAACATACAGGTTTGTTTCTACATATATAAAAAGAAATGATCAAATAGCTTGAGTTTAGGTGTATGGAGAGTAATATCAAAAGCAACTTCCAGAAAAGAAGGTCATATTCATCGTTTAACTACGAAGGACCTTGAAAGAATTCACAAACAAGATATTCTTAATGAACGTGTTACTCCTCGCTCATATATTTGCATACGAGATATTGAAGCATTTGAATTGATCGTTCATAGTAACGGTAATAATATGACTTTTTTTTTTTTATAATTCAATCTCTTTCGTTTTGTTTGTTTTATCTAGATGTAACGGTTTTTAATGGCAATCGAGTAGATCGACATATGAAACAAATTGAAGAGAATGTTGAATTTGAAATATATGATACCGGTGAAGTTGAATATACACCATCCGAAGGTGAACGTACATCACAAGATTATGTAATGGTACCAAAAGCTAAACAAGCAACACTTTTACAACTTCTTTTACCCGGTGTTATGGCACAAGAACAAGTCATACGTAATCGTGTTGTACGCGCACTTCATTGTAAAACAAAAGGTGAAACACATAAACGTCATTTTCTTCTTGAAGTTAATGAACAACCCTGTGAAATACGTCCAATTGCATCAGATGGATCAACTGAATTACGTTATCTTCATTCAACACAAAATCTATATGATTATATGTCAAGTTATGGAAATGATGCAGTTTTATATGTTAAATTACTTCGAGGTAAAATGTCATTTTCTTTAAAAATTATATTAAAAAAAAATATCCTTTTAGGTGATCCACCAATGAAAGCAATTGAATTCGATGGTTATATGGTTTTAAAAACTACATTAAATGGTGATAAAATTCCAATATGTCGTGTTGAAGATCTTGAAGTAACACTTGTTAGTGCTGATCTTCCTATTAAAGTTCGATTACCAACAAAAAGTGAACATATGTGGCGTTCATTATCTGAAGTTCGCGCAGCTGAAATTCAATGTATGCAATTAGCACTTGCTTTACTTGCTCGACATGAATCTGAAATGTATATTACAACTGAAACACAAAGGAATACTAAAAACTATTTAGAATCAACTTATAATCAACAATTAAGAGCAACTAATTCTCATCAATCATCTGATGCAATTAAAAAACATATTGAAGAATGTGAAAAAGTTTTTGAAAATAATTCTACTACTACTAATAATAATAATATTACAAAATCAAGATCGAAACCTAACGATGATTTACATACACATCAAACAATAGAAAAACAAGCAAATAATCCTCAAAGACATAATTCTACCCATCATAACCATCATCGTCAACAACAACAGCATCATCACCATCATCAACAAAAACATCAGCATCATCATCATCAACAACAAGAACAGCTTCACCATCATCAACAACAATCTTCATCAATACCTCAAGATGTATTCAGTAGAACAATGTCACATCCATCACATACTTCTTCTAATAAACCTAATCGAACAAATGATAGACGATCAACATTGAATGAAAATATTGATCCAAATGACTCATATAATTGTTTTCATCGAACGGCTATTAAAAAAAATTCAATACCTTCTTCTTCCTCTTCTTTGCAACATCATGGAACGAAAAGAAATACGAGTTAAAGATCAGAAAAATGACTAAACATATAAATAAAAAACAAACTTAAGAAAATATTTTCTGTTTGTTTCTTTTTGTATCTTCTATGAAAATAAATTATTTTGATCGATAATTGTTTTTTCACATCGACGTGTGTCAGCAAAAACAAGTAGGTTTGTAGAGATGTTTGATGTAAAAAAACAAAAAAGGAAAGAAAAACATTGGTGCAAACCATTTGTTGCATTAAAGATGCATATAAAACAGAAAAAAACCTATAAAAGTGAATATAATAGAAAAATAAGTATTATTTGCATTGTTTAGTAGTGAATAATAAGGATATAATATTCAGTGTCTTTTTTGTCAAATAAAAAGTTTTATTACGTTAAGAGAATGAAAATTATTATCGAACGAACGGAAAATATAAATCTCATTTTTATTTTAATAAAAAAAAACATTCTCTGAGTTATTTTATTTTTACTTTCTTCTACTTTTTTCTTTCTTTTCTTTTTTTTTCTTCCTCGTAACAACGTAGATAAGTATTGAAACTGTTGTAACATGCATATAAATTGTCGTCATTTTTATTCAAAGTCATTTAAACTCACATCATGCCTCACAATCTTACGCGAGATCCATGTCGGTAAGGAAAAATGAAAAAAAGTACTTTAACAATTAATAAAAGAAAGAACTTATTTTAGAATTGATTCAGACAGCGACGATAGCATAGATAATCCATTGCGTACACATATGCAAGTTATACCAAGACCACAAACGCCAAAAGTAACAAAAATTTAATATTTGATTTAATTTTTGATATTTTATATTTGGTATTTTAAGGTTATACCAAAACGGTCTCCACCTAAAATAGTCGATTGGGATGCGTCACCAAACGAACTACCCACGAATGATAGTATGATATCAATATTTTTTTTCTCTTACATGAATAATATTATTATTGGATATAGAGAAAAAACATACTGCTCACACACTAAATCCATCGACTGAAAATGTAGTTTCATCGTCAACAGCACGAATATCATCATCATCATCATCAGATACGTCGTTAGAGCCTAATACACAACTCAATCGATTAGAATCTACTACTACTTCTACTCCAAAATCTCCTTCTGTTTGTATCAACATGATGACTCGATTTATATTATTATATTGATCCATTTTTAGGCATCCTCGACTGATTTTGATCCAATTGCATTAATTCAACAAGATCTAAGTAAATTTATTTATATGCATATTCCAAAAGAATATTCATCCTTTGTACAATGTCGTCTTCGACGTGATACAACTGGTGTACAAAAAGGATTTTTTCCAACATTTTATTTGCAGGCTGAACGCCCAGGTGATAACAAAAAAGTATTAACAAGAAAATAATTGTTTTTTTCTCAATTTTACTTTTTTCTTTTCTTTTGTTTTTTCTTTTTTTAGTTTTTTCTATTAGCTGCACGTAAAGTAGCGAAAGTAAATCGACAAACAGAATATTTAATTACAACTAATGTTGAAACTTTATCAAAAAATTCAGGTGGTGATGGGTGTGTCGGTAAACTACGAGGAAATAATTTAAGTGGAACTGAATATACACTTTATGATCATGGTTTAAGTCCAAATAAATCTTCTAGTAAACATTTAAATAATAAAGAAAGTTTAAGGCGTGAATTAGCAGCTATTATTTATGTAAGTATATATATATATATGTGTAATATTCTTTTCTAGGTAACCTAAGTTTGAACTTAAAGCCATATGTTTTAACAGACTGTTACTGATATAGCCTAGTTTGAATATCAATATTTGAACAAAAAAAATTATTATTTGTAGACGCATTTTATAGAAACATAGTCAGTAATATCGTAGATATAGCTGGATTTTGATGAAAGTTGTTTGAGACTAGAAGAAGAAAGGGCAGAGATTTGACTGTCATGACTGACGATATTACCATTTCAGATGTTGCCTATAGACACTAAATAGTTTTCTAATAAAAATTTTTAAAGCTTTCAGTTTTAACTAAGCTATAGAAATTTTTTTACAACTACCAAGTTTTTTGAAAACTCATATTTTTGCATTTTGATCTTAAACTTTGCTAGTGTATACAACCTACGTTTTTTTTTCAGCAGAGACTTCATTTCTACAAGTTGTTGAGATTCTCATGCGAGCTCTAAAGTTCGAAGTTGAACTGGTGAAGTCGTTATATCAAGGTAGTCATTTTTTTAATGCATATTGTTCAATATATTCCAATAGAGGTTCGACGGTTTTGAGTCAAACTTGCGATTAGTAAAATTGAAAAGAACTAAGAGATCTACTATTTTTTTTAGAAATTTCAATATCCCATTTTTCAAGGCTGTTCATCTTTATATTTTATTGAAAAAAGTAATTTGTTTAAAAACACTATAATCGAAAGGATACAGAACTTAATTTCAGTCAAAGTCGTGATAATAATATTTATGGTTTCACAAATATTAATGTTTTTTTATCATGACTTTGAATCTTCTCTATAAACTTTTCTTTCATTAATAAGAGATCGCTAATGTCACTACAGAGGAACCTTTGACACACTTGCCAAATATCAACTTACATGAGTAAATAATGCTTCATCAGTAATTTTTATTGATATACATAAAGATAGATATAAAATGAATTTGCTCGAGTATTATCCTAATGAAAATTTTCTCATTACACTAGTACTCATAACGAGTGTTTGATTAGTTGAAAGTGATGTATATAGTGTTTTCATAGGTTAATTGAATGAGTTGGCAAAAGAATTTTAAAGTCGGTGACTAAAATATCTAACAAGTATTTTTAATTACCAAATTACAGTAAAAGTTGCTAAGGCATACGACATAGTCATAAAGTATTGTAAAATATGGCATAGATATTCTGAATTCAAAACCTTTACTCCAAGTTATTGATCGGATTGTAGATATCAGAGCTAATCAATCTTTGTTTATAAAAAGCAAGTTATTCTTCCTAACGTTCTACAAAAGAAAAACTACGAATTAAATTTATTTTTCTTGTCTATTTTTAGAATACGAATATTTTTGGTATTAAAGGACCGAGACAGATGAGTGCTATGTTACCTGAACTTGGACATGATATTCGACCAACAAAAGTATATTAAACACTCTTGTTTATTTCAATTCAATTACATTATATTAACATTTAGGATGAAGATGGTATTCTTGATCAATGGCGCGATAGACGTTTAAATTATTTAATTCAATTACGAAACAGATCACCAAAATATAATGAAGGTAAAAGAATTTTTTTTTTACAAGAGTAAATTTTATTTTATTTTATTTTTTTTGTATTTACCTAGACACAAAAACTTATGTTCTTCAGTTTATTGGTAATCGTGTAGCACAACCATCAGTGAAAAATTTTCAAATGATTATTGAAAATGAAAATCGTAAGTTTAATTTATTTTAAATTTGCTACAATATAATTTATACATGATTTAGATGAAGAAGAAGTTATTATGCAATTTGGTCGTGTTGATAAAGAAATATTTACATGCGATTTTCGTTATCCACTTTCTGCTATTCAAGCGTTTGCTATTGCTCTTAGTTCATTTGATAGTCGACTTATACGAGAATAATTATTCAATGAACTATTTAAACAGGCACAATTGATAAACGATAGCAAATATATCGTTAAATATAAATATAAGTTCTGCTTTTTCTTTGAAATGATTGTCATTAATAAAAGAAAAGTTAAATAAGCAAATAAATAAAAAAAAAGTAAAGATAGGTTTTAAACAAATTGGATTCTATTCTATTGAAGCAATAAAATAAATTTTGATTTTATTTGAATCATTGACATGAACAATGTATTGGTTCATTGTTCACATACATATGCTTTTTAATTATCATTAGTCTTTAATTAATCGATAGCTTGTTACAATTTGAAAAGATTTAAATTTTAGTTCAATGTATTTTATTCAATTTAGTTCGAATTCGTCTCGAATGGAACTTTAATTTCAAATAAAGTTATTAAAAAAAAAAAAAGATTTTGTAAAAACAGCTCCCTCTTTCGGAAACAAAACCTATTCTTTCCAATGAGATAGAAGAAACAACTCTATATAAACACGATAGATACATCTCTCTGTGTGTGTGTTTGTCTGACCGTTTGTTTTGTTTATTGTTTGAATCACATCATTGTTTTATCGGTCTCCCCATAGATATCATCATATTATATCAATAGTTTAACTTGTTTTATATGGAATTCGACATTTATTTTCTCATTTCTAAATACATTCATTATCTGAATATTAATACAGATGAAATAAAATAAAACACAAAAAAATGAACATTTTATTTAATTTGAATGAAGTCTATTCGTCAGATTAACTTGTTAGTCTATTCTCAGACTTGAATCTTTCTAGATGGCCGCCGTTAATGTATATCATACAAGTGTAACAACAGACAATCTTAGTCGTAATGATATTCTACAATGGATAAATACAGCACTTGAAGCTAATTTTACTAAAATTGAAGATCTTTGTACTGGTAAGATTAGGAATGAGTTTTTTATTTTCATTAATAAGATAAATAAATAATTTTTATATTTGTTTAGGTGCTGCTTATTGTCAATTTATGGAAATGATGTTTCCAGGTAAATTGATTCATTATATGAATGTACAGATATGGCAAAAAATCATTCGTACGATTTCGATATACAATGATATGTTTCGTTATTGTTAATTTCAAAAGTTAATTATAAAGTCATTATATACAGGAAAAAACAAGTGATACGTTCGTGCTATTGTCTTTACAATGCAATTCTAGTATATAATCAGATTTAGTTATTCAAATATCGTGAATTTTTATTTTGCGACATTTTTATGACGAAATTAAAATTCTTTTTTTTTTTGTCAAATTATTATTTCTACATGTATGATAATGAGAAAAATACTATCAATAACTAAATGCGTGAGAATCTTATAATTAATGAATATTTCTATGAATAGACAACCGCAAAAAACACAAGACTCTTAGAGGAGATTTTTCCTCTGTACAACTTTGCAGAGCTAGTTGCGGCGATCATTTTTAGGAAAAAAATGCTTAGAAACTGCGGCTATTTTTCATTTCTGCTGAGCGGTAATTGATATGTTCGAGTATTTTGAACTTATCACTGTGATTTATTGAGTTAATTGGAATATTTTTTTTCAAAATAATCAAACAAACGAGTTCTACAAAGTTCTTTAGTCAAACTCCAATCCGTTTAGAGTTTTTATAATAACATTGTGTAGCATCTATAGGCAAAAAAATCATTAAAATCGAAAGGAGTAGCTAAAGAGGTTCTTTCATTAGTCAACTAGTTTTCGTAGCAGTGTTCAACTCAGAAAGAGAATTGGTAGTCTGGTCATTATCAATGTCTTATTTATTTATCTTTGCTATTATTATCTCATAAAGAATGTGTAATGAATCCTTGTAAAAAGTTGACTTTCTTCAAATTTTTCCATTCGTAGATATAATAGTACGGCAACTTCTTAGTTCTGTGTCAATATGGGTTTCAAATCGTTTTCATCACTTCTCCAATTGAATCCCAAACCTGTTCATAGTGAAGAAAATAGTACGAACTTGCCACTTATGCTTTCCAGCATGAGATAACTCAATAAATAAATGTTTTGAAATCAACAATAACGAAAAATGTCATTGTTTTCGAAATTGTATGAATAGTTGTTGCCGCATTTGTATTTAGTTGTAATTAATATACTAATAATTAGTTCATATTTTTAATTTCTAGGCGCCATAGGTACACGATCAAAACGGGTCAAATGGAATACAAAGCTTGAGCATGAATATATTAATAATTTTAAAGTATTACAAGAATATTTTAAAGCACTTACAGTAGATAAGGTACTATATTATTTTCTAGATAGAACACATAATTAATCTCTCTTTGACTGATTAATAGATTTTGTTTAGTTCACTTTTACAATGAAATCAAAAATATATTATATAAAGTTTTCTAGGCTCATTAGTAATAAAAATGTTATTCATGTAGTCTAAGCTAATCAGTTGATTTCATAGAAATAAAACAAGAGAGATTATTTATGTGTTTATCTAATTTTCTCTTATACAATCAGAATTATTCATGTATATAATAGATTGTACCTGTTGAAAAATTAGTCAAAGGTAAATTTCAAGATAATTTTGAATTTGTTCAATGGTTTAAAAAATTCTTTGATGCTAATTATACTGCTGCACATGATTATGATCCTGTAGCTGCTCGAGATGGACAGTAAGTTAAAATAATATTTTATTGATTTTTTTTTCCAGTATATAGAATTGTATGGTTGCTTTTTCAAAAGACCATTAGGTAATGGCAAAACAAGCGGTGCTGGTTCAGGTATTCGTGCGCCACCTGCTTCTCGACCACCGCCAGTGGCACCAGTGCGAGCTGCTCCACCAGTAGCAAAACCACCAGTTACCAGTAAGTTTCATTCAATAAACAATATACTACATCAAAGATTCAACAGTAATTTCTACATGATGAAACTATACAATTGCTGTAAACATCGTAAAAAGTTTATTATCATAGTGATGACGGGTTGGATAAGAACAAACACTTTATGCTTGAAAAAATTGTATAAGAGATAACTTGAATTACTTATTGAACCGAAAGACGAGATACGTTCGTGGGTACTTTAACTTCTTGAAGATCCCGCAGTGAAATCGATGACTATTTTTAGTGATGCTGTTTCACATCAGTCACACTCATCTCGTTTAATGTTGTCGATAGTGCACTCGACCTTGTATATCAATGAAGGATGTTGCTCAAACAAATAAATACTTTACTTTTATTGATTTGCTCAATAAAACTTTGAAAACATATATGTATTAAAGACTTTTAATTGTTGTGAGTCGAAAAATGAAATTTCTACCATATTCAATTAATACCATTTTATTTGATTTTTAGTTAGAAAAAAAAACGATTAAGATCAGATTGTTTGTTTTCTTACATGAAATATCTACCTTGAAAAAAGAAATAAAGTTCAAATTGAGGAGCTCGACAGAAGTTCAGATGCACCAACATTCATTGACGAGGCTCGGACTCTGATAGACATTTGATTTGAAAAGACGTTTTGATCGCGATGATTTGTCATTTATTGTTTTTTGTTACACTTAAACAAATATAAATTGATTTTCATCCTAGTAGCCAACAACTTATATGAACTCAAGTAATTCTTTTGAATTAAATATCATTTCATAAATATTTATGTAAAAATAGTTTTGTTTTCAATCCAATCAAGATGATCTATGATGAAATTCTAACTTAACTTGCTTGATTCAATGCAGATAATCGATTTTTTATTTGAATATTGAAACGAAGAAAAATCTTATAATACATGTTAATTTATAATTTAAAATTTTTTTTATAGCTAAACCAATGCAACAACATCAACAAAAAATTTCTCCATCAACTCATCGTCCTGCTGGAGCTGGACATCATGTTGATCCTCATCATGGATTACATAGTAATGAAAATATTCGGTTACAACAAGAAGTAAATATTTTATTTAGTTTTTTTTTTTTTTTCAAAAAAAGGAACAAAAACTTATTTTCTTATATTGATTAGATTGATACATTGCAAGATATAGTTCAACAACATGCCGCACAAATAGCTGGTCTTGAAAAAGAACGAGATTTTTATTATCAAAAATTACGTGATGTAGAAGTTATTTGTCAAGAACCAGAATGTGAATCATTACCACAAATACAAAAAATTCTTGAAATACTTTATGCTACAGAAGTATGTAGAAAATATGAGTTTTTGATGTTCATTTTAAATAAAAATAAAAAAAATCATCGATATATTTTTAAAGAAAGGTTTTGAGATACCCGATGATAATAATGAAGAACAATAAAATGTTGAACAAGAATTTTAATGAGGAGGTGTGTTTTTACATTAGTTAGCCTGTCCTTGTATCACCTTTATTGTTTATATTTGTGTGTCCTTTGTTTTTGTTTGTGAATTATTATTTATGTATTCTTTTTTTTTAATTTAATTTAAGGAGGGTTTTGCGCAACCCGATCAAGAGAATGGTGTTGGTGATTTAGATGAAGCAAATGGTTTGACTGTTGGTAATAATGGTAATGGTTCTGCTCTTATTGGTGGTGATGATGATACATATTAGAAAACTTTTTTACACTTTTTTTCTGTTCATCTTGATTATCAATACTTATTTCCTTCTTCTATGATGTAACTAAGTTCTTTTTTTTCTATGAATAGACACGCGTCCTATCTTTATTCGATTCTTTGTACTATGATGTATGTGTGTGTGTCTGTCTGTATGCAACTCTATACGAAAAAAAAAGAAAATAAAAGAATATGTTTATTAAGAATAATTATCTAGGGAAATCAAAGAAATGATGTATGAAACGAGACAATATATCCACTAAAAACAAAACAAATCTGAATGTCTCCAGTATGCTATAACCGAATCAACTTATAATATTATCGTCGGAGCTATGTGCCTTGGCCTCGAAAAGACGGGATTCTATTGAAGACAGCAGCAGAATAAATCTCTATGGGTTTTCAAATTGTTTTCGATTAAAACCTAAGAAAATTCTCTTTCTACTCCTTGAATTCTATGAAATTAAATTCAATAGCTCGGTTAACATACAACAAGCGAACTAATCTTTCAGAAGTAGTTCTAGTCTAGCAAATCTCTACGGATCGATAAAATAATGGATTCAAAAATCTTTATTTGTATGCGACTTTTTCTTATACAGATTCTTGTTGACTAGATAAGAAAGCTAATTTGTTTTTATTAGAATCAAGAATGATAGCTTTGAACATTATTCGTGAATATTTCACATAAGAATAGACACAGGATTTAGCTGATTAGTTTAAGAATACCCTCTTTTCGAGAATGTTGGAGAACGGTTCATTAAAAAATTTGAAATTTTTGCCGGCATTAGACTCTGTTTGAGGTGGGTATCTTCTTATTTTTTTTTGTCTTTCGAATAAAAAAGCCAAAATATCGACAGTACCTTGAATAGAGCCACCCAAAATCAACAGAACAATAGATTTTGGAACAAAAAATGTGTAGTTTATGTGAAAAAAGTTTCAGCTCGATCAGACGTACTAAGCTGAAAAGGTATGGATGTTTCTGCACTTCCTTTTATGTGAAGAAGTTGTTTTGAGAAAAACACGAAACAGTCTCCAGTTTTCGCTAATTTGATTTCTTCTCGAACTTTTTAACGTTAAAAAACAATTGTTCAGTACTCAGTAAAAAGATACCATTTCAAACTATACAACGGCCACGAAAAAAAAAACGTCTGGGTCACAAAAGCGGAGTACCCTAAAACAAAATGAAGATATTCAAATTCTTTTTTTAGTGGTTCGGTTCCATTCCATCCACAAGTTTTATTCAGTAGTATTTTATGAAAAGAAATAAACAGAACTTTGTATTAGAGAAAGTTATTGTAATCATAGAACTGAGAACATAATTCAATAGTTCATAAGATAATGGCAATAAAATATTCTTGTAATGTATTACTAATCTTATTAAAATAGTCATTTAGCGACAAGGAATTTTCTTTACTGTCATTTCATTAAAATGAGAATTAATTGATCTTGAAAAATAAATTTTTTATTTCGGCGTAGTCATCTTAAACGCATAATCTGTCTTTAATTGATCAATCAATACACATATGTTGAAATTGAAAATGGCCATATCTGCATTGTACGATGGTGTCAGCCATTAAATTTGGCTGTAGGAGTAAAGAAGCCTAACACCTACATTCACATTCGCCGATCGAAAGCGTATTTTGAATCTTTCTTACCGATAAGAAAGTTTGTTTTAAAAATATCGGATAGTGTCATTACTGTTTAGTTTATTTCTTTTTCTCTACAACAACATTGCTTCAGTTAAATTCTGAAATTGTGCAGAAAAAAAACTTATGCCGATGAAACGCGAAGGTATCCCTAATGTTACTCTTTGGGTTTTTTTCATTGCTATGATTTCTTATTATTCACCTAGTTTAAATTAACGAAAAATATTGCCAATCCTTCTTGTATGAATAAGAATATTTTTGTACTTAACATTCAAATTCAAGTTTGAATCTTTCATAAGCAAAAAAAAACGTCCAAAACTATGGCAAAAATATGATTTTCATCAGTTTGTTTCTTTGTACACTGAAATATGATTAATAAATCTCAATTATTTCTTCAATACGTGAAGTATCTCTTGAATTGAATTTCAAGAAAAATAATCTTAAAATTTTAAACACTCTTGTTCAATAACACTTGTAATGTTATTCTTTTAAATGTAGTAAAGTAATAAAACTTGCATCAAGTACATATTATCAAACTTTTCAATATCTTAAAAACAAGGGAACATTTTTATTTTATTTTTAAAAGAATTCAAATTAAGAATAAAAATTTTTATTCCTTGATACATGATTCGCATTTTATCATGTAATAAAAAATCAAAAACTAGAAAAATTTTTTTACAATTCATCATGAAACTGCAGTTGTGATCGTGGTATTGTATATCGAATTGTTCGATAATTAAATCGTCTTGTGCCTCCTCCGATTTCATTAGAAGATGTTGGCGGTCGCATTTGTGAACCTGAACGCATCAAATTCAATTTCCAAGCTAATCCGAATCGACTACTTAAACTTGTTCGATCACTCCAACATGCACTACTTTTTCGACTATGTGTCACTGATAAATTATCATCTATATATGGTATAGGTTCATCATCATGTAGATGTTGTTTAATAGCTGTTTCAATAGCACTATTAAAATACGATGTACGAGGTGATGAATAAAGAAAATAAGATGGTGGTGGTAAATTAGCTAGAACAGTTGAATTTGATGTATGACAACTATCTGTTTCAACATAATATGATGAAGAATTTGTTTGGTCTTCGTCAATAGTTAATTTTATAGGAGACGAAATTAAAAGTCTAGAAAAAAAGAAAAAAAAGAATTTTCAAATACAGAAAATAAAACAAGAGATCAGTTTTGATATACCGATCTCCATCTGATGTTTTTCGTTGTTGAGATTTATTCATTTGAGTATTTTCATCAATATTATTCGTTTTAACCGTTCGTTTCGTCAAAATAGTAATTAACATAAGAATAACAACAACAAGAACAAGTAAAGCAAGAAGACAAACACCATATAACCATATTGGATCTAATAAAGTTTGTTCGAAAAATGTTGATGGTATATTAATCTAAAAAGAAATCAATATATCGTTTTTTTCATCTTCATTTTAATCAATCATACACGATGTTTTATATCTTGATAAATTTGTTGCTGATGGCGTTTGAGTGCAAGTAAAAATTGATCATTAGTCAATGCAATATCTTGACGATAAGGATCTTTAATAAATACAGCTACATATAAACGACGATCATCTAACTGTTCTTCATAACTTTGTATAATAACATGGTCCGCTCTGTTAAAACAAATGAAATATAGTTAACTAAGTTAATCAAACAAAAAGTTATATTTTTCTATATATATATATATACCTGACAACATCAGTATCATTACTTAAACAAGTATTACGACTTATTGAACAAAATTTTCGTATAATTTTTGCAATACTTTGACGTAAATTACGATAAATAGTTTGTTCAAAATTTTCAAGTGTTGTATTTTCAACAATTAATGTTACACTACCACGAATAGCATATGGCCATAAATGATGATGAATATGTGTGCTATTCATTGATATTGTTAGACAGACTATAAAAACCAGTTGATGCAAGTTTGATAATAATTCCAGTTGACCGTTTCTTCTTTGTTTTTATTCTCTTATGATGAATGAAAAAGTATTGACCGTCGACTAGTAACAATAAAAAAAAAACTCAATCGACAATGTATGTCTATCCTTTATATATAGGTGCGTGTGCGTTTGTGAGTAAAAGACACTAAAGGCTATTATTCCACGAGAAGGAGTGAATAGTCTTAATGACTAGTTACATCACAAGACTTTCTTTCAATTTATTTTTACTCAAGTATTTCATTTGGTTAGAGAAAAAGAAAAAAGTACTTACATACGGCTCATTGCACGTTTGACTGTTTTTTTATTAATGCACACCTTTGTGTATATTATTATTGATTACCAAACATTGATCTGTAAAAAGGCAAAAAAACAACAAATTTAATTAAATTGAAGATTTTTGTTCTTTTCTTTTTCTTCTTAACTTACTATTGAAAAATTTCAATAGATATAAAACAATCTATGTATTGTTTCTATGTTCAGTATCGTCTTATCGTTTGACTTTTTGACTGTAATTCTATCTTGACCCTACAGGTTTCAATTGAAAAGCATAAAATCGATAATAGATGCCTATAATATTACTTTTGCTGTTGTTGTTATTATTGTTGTTATTTTTATAGATGAATTCAATAAAAAAAAAATGGTTACTTTTATTGTCTGAAAATGAACAAAGTAACAGAATAACTCAAAGTGAACACAATGTGTGTTGAATGTTCATTAGAGAAATGTATGAATCGAGTGCATTAGACGTTCTTTCTTTCTTTCTCTCTCTCTCTCTCTCCTTCATTCTCTTCAATGTCTCGACACATACACATAGACAAAAGAGTATAATTATAGTTGTTTCGTGTCTTGTACAATTGATGAGAATAAGACGAAAAGAAGTGAAAATATCGACACGTTTCTTGCCTATTAAATCAACAAGAGAAGTTTTAAGTGGTTGATGACGAGTATGTACATGAGACAGAAAGAAGCTTTTTCTCATTTTAATACCTGTAATCATGATGTATTGTGTTAGCACACGAAATGTCACCATTAGCGCAACGTGCTCAAACAAAAAACAAAATCTAAAGAGTGCCGCTTGCACGCATGCTTATTTTTCTTTTTTTTTTCAATAATATAAAATGAATAAGAATAGAAGGAATTGATCAATCGAATAGCCTCAAGTCGTTCACAAACAATACATAAAACAAGAACATGAATAGCGCAACTAAATTCAATTCGCCATCATCATTATTTTCTGATAATGGTTCAATACTAATGGTAACATGGCATATTTCTATTTTTTCTTATGAAACAATAATCTTTTAAATTTTTCATAGAATTCAAAAAATGTCACTTCATTTCAACGTATTTTATATGGAAGACCACCACCGACAACACCACGAACTG